TACTTTTGCCTGTTTGTGAACTTCATGTAAATGTAATTGTAAGTCTATACTTGTGTGTGATTTATTTTGCTTAAAATTATATTTGAGAGATATACTGTTGATTATAGCTATAGTTCTTTAATTATCATTACTTTATAGGATTTCATTATGTACATATACCACAGTTTGTCTATTTTACTGTTGATGGAGATTTGGGTTTTCCATTTTGGGGTAATGAGTGCTGTTATGAACACATTTGTTCATGACTTTTGTTGAATGTTATGTTCACATTTCTGTTAATATATAACTGAGAGTGGAATTACTGTGCCACAGTGTAAACATATATAAGTTTAAGTAGATAAGTACCAAAGGGTTTTCCAAAATGGTTGTACCAGTTTACACTCAGCTGAAACTATGAGTATAGTTGTTATTTTTCTCAACGACACTTGGTATTTTTTTATTTGTTTGTTTTATTGTTGTACTCCTATCATTTATTTATTCTAATCAGGTCTTAAGCATAAATATATGGTATCTCACTGTGGTTCTAATTTGCATTTCTCTGCTGGTAAATGAAGTTAAGACTTTTTCTCATGTTTGTTGGTCTTTAGATATCTTCTTTTATGCAGTGCCTATTAAGTCTCTTGACCATTTCTCTATTGTATATCTGATTTTTTTCTTATTGACTTGCAGAAGTTCTTTATATTTTTAAGATAAAAGTCCTGTCATGTATGTGTAGTATAGATACCATCTCCTGCTCTATATCGTGTCTTTTCACTCTCTTAATTATGTCCTCTGGTTCAGTTATTTATTTATTTATCCTCACCCAAGGACATTTTTCCATTTTTTGGTCAGATAGAATGGGAGGGAGGGAGGGAGAGAGAGAGAAACATTGATGTGAAAGGGACACATCAAGTGGTTGCCACCCGCATGACCCAACCAGGGCCGGGGACAAACTGCAACCGAGGTACATGCCCTTAGCGGGAACTGAACCTGGATCTCTCTGGACCGCAGGCCGACGCTCTAACCACTGAGCCAAACTGGCCAAGGCCTGATTCAGTTATTAATTTTAGTGCCCAACTTAACAAAATTTCATTTATGTTTAGTGCTTCAGTGTGTCCCACTAGCGAAGTATTCTTCTGCCTTAGAGTTTATAACACATTCTCCTGTTTTCTTCTAAAAGTGTTATTGTATTACTTTCACATTTAACTCTATAATCAGCCTGGTATTAATTTTTGTGTATAGTGTGAGATAGGGGTTTTAAATTTCTGATTTTCCATATGGATATCCAGTTAACATGCAGTGGAATATCGTCTCCATTGTAAGTTGGCAACTTTCATGAATGAGTCTGCCCTGCACAGTTTTGTTCCCTTACGGCTTTTTTAAAAGCAAACTGGTGTCTGTGTGGGAAGTTCTTAAGATGAGGGAATTCTAGAGTTAAGTGGAATTAGTTTATTCAGGATAAATAACCTAGGGAGCAGTATTAGGGCATTTATCCTTAAACTAGAAGTTACATATTATCAGTGATAGACCCAAGTCTAGTTGTCAAAACCTCTGACTTTCAAACATACAGAAGATTATCTCCAAATTTTTTATTATACATCCTTACCAGTAAATGATGCTTGAGCATTTATTTTATTTTTTATTAATAAATTATATATAGGACCTATATGTAGTATACATATATTACTGCATTAATATGTTGTTTTCATCATAAAACACACAAAATTCGAATTATAAAGGAAATCATTAAAACAGAATTTGAAATTTTAATAATTTCTTTCTATACCACCTTTATCAGCCAAGATAGACTGGGTTATGTGTGCAAATAATCCTCAGATTTCAGTGGATGAAAACACCACCAGTTTCTTTCTCTCATGTCATATATCTGTCGTGGTTTGGCTTCAGCTGTCCGCAGCACTGATCTTACCTGGACACCTGCTGGTCACAGGAACAGAGGGAAGATAATGGGGAATTAGCACTTAAAGCCTCTGCCTAGATGTGGCATGTGTTACTTCTGATCACATTTTATTATCCTAACAAGTTACATTCCTCACCTAATTGCAAAGAAGAAAAATCCTAACCTTGTGCCCTGGAGAAGTGGAATATTTTAAACAGTACCCAAAACCATCACCTCCAAAATGACTGCTTTCAGAGAATACGGCCCTGGATTAGTGTAAGAAAATAAGCACACAAAGACAAGTCCTTTTAGTTTTCCTATTTCATGTTGTTTTTAAACACTGCAGTCCTGAGAAGTGAGTCTATTATAACTACAGGAGAGTGGTCTCTCTTGCTAAAAGCTCCTTAATAGCCTCACTTTGCACTCGTGTAACCAGACATCTCATGCAGCCTACAGTCCCTACCTTTCTAACCGCATCTCACACCCGCACCTCAACCATACTGACCTTTCAATTCCTTGAAGGAGACATGTGTTCTCTGCTTCTGTCTTGACTTTCCTACCTTTCTCCTTGTTTTTACCTGTTTATTTTTTAATTTTTAGGTCAAATATTAGCTCAAGAAAGTCCTCTGTGATTCCCGGGGTAGATAGAGTTCTCTTTTCTACACTCTCATAATATTCTGTTGCTTTGCTTCAAGAAAAGCTGTTCCCGTTTTGTTTTTAATCCTCACCCAAGGATATGTTTGTTTTTTAATTATTTTTTATTTTTAGAGAGAGACAGACAGAAGAGAGAGAGAGAAACATCAATGTAAGAGAGAAATGTTGATCAGTTGCCTCCCATATGCACCCCGACCTGCAAGCTAGGTATGTGCCCTGACCAGGAATCAAACCCTCAATCTTTTTGGTGTGCGGGATGATGCTCCAACCAAATGAGCCACCCAGCCAGGGCTGTGTCATTTTTTAGAGTAGGTATTTGCGCTATTTATTCAATCTGTTTCTCCAATTAGTGTGCAAGCTCCAAGGGGTAGAGATCAAGTCTGTTTTGCTCACCACCGTGTGCTGCTGCTTCTGTTTAGCCCAGTTACTGGCATGTAATAGGAACTCATTAAATAGCGCGTTTGATTATAGTTTTATGTTTGTGACAATTATGTAATCTCTATAGAGAACGTGTCTTAAACATGTATACAGTCCTTAAGAACAGTTTGATACTGAGAAGTTAATCACACAAGCTGCAAATATACTGTTGCTTTATGCCTCTGTGTCCTGGGAAGACTAAGAGAATCCAGAGAAGGAATGCTTTCCCCATTCTCTCTGGATTAGAATAACCCTCCCCTGGATTTTCACATTATTTAAGTGTTTTTCCTTTTCCCGTTTCTCGAGTGATAGCTTTATGTTTAATGTGAAAGTCAGGAGATATATCACATTTAACATAAATGGCAGTAAAACTGCCCAAGCAAGGATTATATTATAAAGATATAGTGAATAAACAAGTAAGTTGTGTGGTATTAAGGTATGTTTTCTTTTAGCTTCTGAAGATGATACTGAATTACCAAAACACAATGTGATTTATTTTTATGATATTTTGCATCAGCAAAAGGACATATATTAGATGCTTGGAAAATGCTTACCTACATATTTATGTCCCTCACTATTTGTCTTCATTTACATGTCTTGTGGGAAACTTGAGACTTTTTTGTTTCTCTTTTCAGAAGAAATAACAAATTTGATCACTTTCTTGTCTGTATGTTTTATTGTGGACTATAGGTGCCATTCTTCCTTTAAAATGCAAATGTTCTAATAGAGATATCTTCCATAATGATAATGTTTTTTTTTAATTAAAAAAAATTTTTTTTCCTTTATTGATTTTAGAGAGAGGAAGGGAGAGAGAGATGCAAACATCGATGAGAGAGAACATCGATTGGCCGCCTCCTGCATGCCTCCCACTGGGGATTTGGCCCACAACCTGGGCATGTATCCTGACTGGGAATCGAACTGGCAACCTCTTGGTGCATGGGTCAATGCTCAACCACTGAGCCACACCGGCCGGATCATAATGATAATCATATAGGTGGAATCGATAGGATGATACAGACATTGTTATCTGTAAGCCTCTTATAGTTGTGTTCCCATTTTTTTTTCTAGAAGAGAACCACTACTTCCCATCAATAAGAAGTGGGATTAAAAGGAACATGAATAAGGATTATATTATCTATTTTATGCCAGAAGCTGGGGGAACTCAGAAAGAGATAGACGCTTTCTATAAGACTTTAACTTTTTGTTTCAAATGATAACATTGTGGCCAGAGCTGAGTTTCACTCTTTTGCTGGTGGTGTCAATGTTATCACCTATAGAATGGGGACGATAAAATACCCACCTCATCAAGTTCTTATGAGGAGTGAATAAGATAGTGCATTTAAATCACTTATTCCAGGACCTGGCATATAATAAGCACTCAGTATATGTTAGCTCTTACATGCCATGAGACTTTGTCCACAGTTAACCTCCTAACTATTTATTGTCCTGTGTTTGTTCTGCTTATTTGTTCTATATTGCCATCAGAACTAAGTTTCTTAAACACAGATCTGATTGTGTAACATCACTTCTTCAGTACCATATTCTCAACTTTAAAAAACGTCTGTGGTTTTCTGTTGTCTCAAGAAGAAGTCTCAAATATATGAAAGGTATTTAACACCTTACCATCTGACCCTGACCTTCCTTACCAAAGCAGCTTAGCACCCCCTAGGTTGCAGCCCTAGACCACAGAAGTTACATTCCTGTCTTGTGCTCTTCCTTCTGCCTAGAATTCCTGCTACAGCCTCAGCCCCTCTTCTCACCCTCACCTTGAACAAACAGTTCTCTGTGGGCAACTCTGAGATTCCTCTTATTCTTCCCAGATCTAATATTTTAATCCCTGTCATTTATCTATCTCTTTAGCATTTACTACATTATTAAAAGTAATGGATGTGCCTTACTCTCCCACTAGCTTATGAATTCCTTAAGAGCAGAGCCCATAACTTATTCATCATTGTATCACTAAAACCAGTAGGCACTCTGTAAAAATATTGAAATAATGAATTGAGATTTGGTTTAATTTTGTTTTGATTTCAATGTGTTTTTGTTATTCTAGGTTCTGGGCCTTGTTCAAAATATGAGTGTTTTCCAGTGTCCAAAGTGTAAACACAAAACTCATATTTTTGGTGCTGATGGTGCAAGGAAGCTAGCACAGATCCTTGATCTTGATATTCTAGGTAAGACCATAGAATATTCTTTTGCAGAGGAAATGGGAGAAGGGAAAATAGAGATCAGGTATGGTGATGAAGAGTATCTCAGAAAATGGTGAATTGCTTTTGGCTTTGTGTTTTAAATAAGTTAGTATAGCACAGTTGTATGTGGTAACCTTTCTTTGGCTTTTTATAACACTTCATTTGCAGAAGGCTTTTAAAAAGTAAGTTTGTTCTGCTGATTTTGATGCCTTCTGCTATCCATAAAAAAAGTACTTATAGCTTGAATTTGAAAAGAGAGTATTTGTGGTCCAAGTACTGGGGATTGAAGCCCATCTTTAAAATAATGGTCAGTTTGTTTTCTACATTGGGAGCTCATCCCTCAGTTTAATGGTGTATATGATGATTCCTGTTCATTATGTTGTAGCAACCTTTGGGAGTGTCACTTCCTGATCAGTTCTGAACTCGTCAGTCCTTCTGCTCTAGAAAAACAGTATTTTCTGTTTTCTGGAATATTTTATATGTGTTTGCCATGTCTATAAAGTATGGCACTTGAAATTTACATTGTATATACTGTTCATGTTATTGAATTGAAGGATTATTTAATGTTATGAGAAGAAGTAAAATCGTGTTAAGTGAGCAAAACACAGATTTTGGATAAAACATGATTTTTTAAAAATCCACAAGCAACTTAATGAACGTTTGAGGAAACATGTTTTGATATACTACTTATTGAAGGACTTTCTGTTCTGGGGAAGGCAGATGTTACATACTGAGTAAGGGAGCCATAGAGTGAATTATTAGTTTTAGGTAGTTTAAAATTAAGATCCCTTAGAGATCAAAGAATTTCAAAACATTTGTTATTATAATTACATTTCTAAAAGTTTATGTTAGATGTATTATTGTTATTATGCATTTGTACTATAGCAACCACCACAATACCAGGTGAATACTAATGATATATTTTGATAATTGCTATAACTATAGTCACTGATTATATTCTGCAACTGTTCTTCATCTAACTAATCTAAAAAGTTCAGTTTCTTAAATCTGCATAATAATGTAACAGACTGACACTCACTTATAGAATAAAGTAAATGTGTAATTATAATGGCATTATTGAATTATGTTGACAATATTATAATTCCCTAATTTATAAATGAGTGGTATAGTTTTATAAGTCAGTGATTTAGAATTTGAAATATATCTCCTAGAGAAACAATCTCACATATGAAAGTTACTTTTTAACCATCAGCTCACAAATGGATAGTTACACTGAAAATGTATCAGCAACACTGATTACTGATCACCACAACTGAATAGTGCTATAGATTGCCATATCGAACAGTATATGGGAAAAATGGCTTAGAGCTCCATTTGGGCCATATCTCCTTTTAATGCAGCCCTGGGGGCCCAGAGGTAACTCCCATGAACTGGAGCAGGGACTCCAGTAATGAAGAGGTTGGAATTGGAAATAAGGAACTGAAATCAAGCAAAGAGCTCTTACAGCTATGGCCTCCTGACTAGTTGAAGCCCCCAGGCACCATTATTTGTCTTTTACTGACTCTTTGGCTGCCTCAGTTTATTTCAGCCATTGGACTGTGTTTTATTTATTGATTTTTTTTGAGGAGCTGTTTTATTTTTTTATTTTTCTGAGATTTGGTAAAGTGCCGTTTCAGAACTTAATCTATATTTATCTAAAGCAGCGGTTCTCGAGCTGTGGGTCGTGACCTCTTTGGGGGTCGAACGACCCTTTCACAGAGGTCACCTAAGACCATCAGAAAACACATATTTCTGATGGTCTTAGGAACCGAGACACCGCTCCTCTGTCCATCTCCAGGAGGGTTCCCCCACATGTAGATACGTCCACATACAGGCATGCCCACTACAAGTACCCGGTATGATGACATCATTGTGCCAACCCCACCACATACACCCGGTACAAATACAGGTGTATGTGACAGGGTTGGCACCATAATGTACTTATGCAGACCAGTCACACATATGTAGAGAGCAGCTACTGTGTAGAAAGAGGCTACTCTGTTAAAAGCAGCTACTGTGTCGAAAGCAGCAGTATTAGAGGCAAAACGACACTTCATGAATTATAATTACTGGGTAAATGTAAAATCGTACTGTAAAATCATCAACTACTGCAAAAGAAAAAAATCTGTACCATGGGAACTTAATCTGGATGCTGATCAGTCTTTTTATATTCAGCTGTGGTTGATGTGAATACTGCCCCCTTGTGATAGTAACAACTATGTAAAAAAAAAACCCCACAGAATGGTAAATGATAGGAAACTTTAATGAACTGTATTAACTAAACTATGTCATGTATCATCTTATGTAGTATTAAAGCTATTGTTATATAATACTTTCATTAGCAAACCATCCCATGACAATGGATCATGCAGAGAAAAATGTTAAGAAAATAAAATATAGTAAAGATTTTTTTACAGTATGGTTTTCCTTCAATAATTACAGCAGGAATTGAGATACCACAGTGTGTTATTTTTTGTGAAGTTCTATTAGCCGAATCTATGAAGCTGAACAAACTATATCACTATTTTGATAGCAAGCATTCAAGCTTTGCCAGCAATGATACCAACTATTTTAGAAGCAAAGCTGATGGACTCCATAAAGCCAGACTTGATTTTCTTTGGAAGCAGCTGACCCAAGCTGCTGGGAGTTTAGCTCTTCACTTTGTCAGATGCATCCCAGCCATGTCCATGATCTGGGTTCTCCTATGAGAGCACAAGTTATAAAGACCAAATTAGAAAGAAGTTGAGATTCCAAAATGGCGGCGGAGTGAATGGAAGCTACACAGACTGTTTCCCAGGACCAAACTGGAATTACAACTAAAATAAAGACAAATAAATGGGGAAAAGCAACAGAAAAGCAGCTTACAGGGATCACATAACCAGGGACACTGACTCGATCCTGGTAGGATTGTGGAGGCGTGAGACGGGGCTGGGAGCCCACAGACAGCAGTGGCCTTAGCTGTGAGCAGTGCCCTCGGGTTAAACTCCTATACAGCTCCACAGCACAGAGCCAGGACAGAGGCTAAAATAGCCACAGCCACTCACCTTGGGCTCCAGCAGAGGGAGTATGGACTGGACTGGAACTGTGAGGGGACATGCGGGATTTGGAGGGGGCTCAGAGCTTTTGCTGAGTTGCAGCCACTCAGGACAGTGGCCATCTTACTCCTTCCCAGGGCTCTGAGGAGAGGCAGCGGCCCCTCCCTCAGAGATTCAACCCCACCCAGGTGGAACATTGAAATGCAAATTGAGGCTCACTAACAACCAGCATCTGCCCCACCCTCGGGAAATCCCCTTATGCTGAGCACCAGAGGGAGTTTTTCATTCAGCTGAGAACCCAAGCTCTTCAAGTAACTGCTACTGATAGCCTGCAGGCAAAAAGCTAGAGGATAACTGTACCATTCCAGGGCTAGCAACTCTAACCAGGAAACTAAGACTTGACAGTGGTGTTTAACGTGAGTCCTCCACAGGAGAGGGAGCCACAAACAGGAGAACACCAACACCCACAGGGAAAATTTGGCAGGCTGCAAAGCCCACTGTGATAGCCAAACTGGTAAAACAGAAATAAAAGCCAAATGAAAGAACAAGACACCTCTACCAAAGATGAGATAAATGTGGAGCAGTTAAGCAAGTTAACAGAGCTACAATTCAGAGCCATAAACTTGAGGAAGCTAAACAGCATGAGTAAGGACATAGAGATGTTGAAAATCAACCAACTGGAAATTAAAAACCACCAAGAAGAAATCAACAATGACATATCAGAAATAAAGAACACATTAGAAGGTCTAAACAGCGGAGTAGAGGAAGCTGAGGACTGGATCAGTGAATTAGAAGACAGCGTAGAAAAAAAATCAAACAATCAGAAAACCAAAAGGAAAAAATGATTAAAAAACAAGAAGACAGCCTAAGAGAACTATGGGACAACTGGAAACGTAATAATATTCGCATCATAGGAGTTGCCGAAGAAGAAGAAAATGAGTAAGGGTTAGAGAATATATTCGAAAAAATAGTGACAGAAAACTTTCCTAATTTGGTGGAGGAAGAAGGCATTCAAGTTCAAGAAACACAAAGAGCCCCAAGAAAGAAAAACCCAAACAGGCCCACACTAAGACACACAGTAATTAAAATGCCAAAAATTAACAAGAGAGAGAATCCTAAAAGCAGCAAGAGATAAGCAACAGGTTACCTGCAAAGGAACCCCCATAAGACTTCTCAAAAAACAAAAAACAACAACACTACAGGCCAGAAAGGAATGGCATAAAGTAATCAAGGTCATGAAAAACAAGGATCTGAATCCAGGACTACTCTACATAGTAAGGCTGTCATTCAAAATAGAAGGTCAAATAAACAGCTTCCCAGATGGAAAAAAGGCTAGGGGAATACATTAGCACCAAACCAGCACTGCAAGAAATTTTAAAAGGACTGTTGTAATTAGTAGAGGAAATAGGAAGAAAAATATAACCAAACTAAACAAAAATGGCAATAAACAAGTACATATCAATAATCACCTTAAATGTAAATAAACTGAATGCTCTGATGAAAAGACACAGAGTAGCTGATTGGATAAGAAACCATGACTCATCTATATGTTGTTTACAAGAGACCCACCTCACAACAAAAGACTCACATAGATTGAAAGCGAAGAGATGGAATAAAATCTTCCAAGCAAACAGAAAGCAAAAAAAAAGCTGGGGTAGCAGTACTCATATCTGATAAAATAGATTTCAAAATGAAGGCCATAACTAGAGACAAAGAAGGCCACTACAGCTCTGGCTGATTTGGCTCAGCGGTTAGAGATTTGGCCTGCCGTCCAGAGAAGGCCACTACATAATATTGAAAGGATCTATCCAACAGGAAGATATAACCTTGATAAACATATATGCACCCAATATAGGAGCACCAAAATATATTAAAAATCTTCTGGAGGACTTCAAAGGAGAAATTGACAACAATACAGTTATAGCAGGGGACTTCAGTACCCCGTTGACA